TTCGAGTGATCAAGAATTTGTTACAGTGGGTTCTCACCACAGATTTGTACTTGGTCGTGTACTTTTGATGGTGGTTTTAGCAGTCAGTGGTGTTTTATAGGTGAGCTTTGTTGCAGGTGTTCCAACGAATGCGGGCCGTTGTTAGCAAGCCCTCAATGATGTTTTTCCCAAATACAAAGACTTGTTATTTGTTACTTTTCACTGGTTCGTGAAACCTTTAATATTGGCCATGAGACCAGTGATAAGACTAAGCTACATAGATGTGGAATTTATTTACTATTTAGTCCACACAGATTTTCTACAGTACAAAAGATGTGCTTTTAAAACCGAGTGTTTTCAAGTGCTTTATGGGAAATCTTCATCAGAAAGGGGTTTCGCCAGCCAAGTGTTTCTTCCCAAACAAGAGGTAGTAATAGGAGGAAACTGAAAGTATTCCACGGTCGGACCCAGGTTAACTGCCTATAAGTGTGCCCTTATTGACAGTTGGGCCACGAAAGTGGCTTTTTCAATGTCACAAACAGATCTACCTGGGGTGGAAGGGACGTGAGTATTTATAGTCAGGTTCAGAATGCTGAGGTCAGGTGGAGAATGCTGCATCTGATGATGTACCGAGTGGGGTTATAGAGTCTAAAATCTTGGGTAGCTTGGAAAGGAGATTGGATAAGTTTGTGAGCAGACCTTCTACAGTGTTCTTCCATTCCTGTGTTCTTATGTGGGATAGCGATGAAGAAGTTTCTTGGCAAGTGGTTCAGCTATGTTATAGAAGCCATTATTCTGGTTGAAGTTGTCGGATATAGAAATAAGTGATGATTCCAGGATTCTTCGGTATTTGAGTGTTGTCTTCTGTGGCGATAAGTCTTGAGTTTCTGTAGTTTATCAAGTGGTTGTGTGAATTACGGTGTTGTACACAGGCATTCCTTGTGTCGTCAGACCTGCTTGCGTATTGGTGTTCTGAAATACGTGTTTGGAGGTCCCTTGATGTTTCGCCCACGTATAATTTGTTGCAGTCATTACAAGGGATTATGTATACCCCTGCAGAGGTTGGAAGCTTGTCCTGTCTATCACTGGTAATGTCCTTGATGGTCATGGTTGTGGAGGTAGATACTTGGAATGAGGTATTGGAAAAGATGTTGGAAACGTGTTGGGCAATGGAGTTGGTGGGGAGGACTATGTATCTCTTCTCGGCAGTGTCTTCTCTGGGTGTGTTGAAGATGTTTAATGTCCGTCGTCTGCAGTCTCTGATGAAGTGACGAGGATAGTGGAATTTAGAAAATACTTGTTCAATTATCGTGCATTCTTCTTCAAGAAACTCATTGCTGCTGATTCTGAGTGCACGCAGGAAGAAGCCTATAATTACACCACGTTTAGTTTTGGTGTCGTGGTGAGAGTAGAAGTGGAGAAGATCGTTTTGGTTGGTGGGTTTTCGATAGACTTTAAAACGAAGTTCGTGGTCAGCTTTGCAGAGCAGAACATCAAGTGTGAACTGGATTGAAGGCTCGACCTGGTTGAGCTTGTCTTGGAGAGCTTGAACGTTGAAGCGTTTAGGAGTTATGAGGAGAATGTCGTCAACATAACGGAGCCAGGTGACAGACGAAGGAATAATGGTGGAGAAACGTTCGGCTTCTAGATGTTCCATGTATAGGTTCGCCAGGACCGCACTGAGTGGCGAACCCATGGGTAGTCCAAAAGTCTGCTGAAAGAGGTGATTTTCGAAAGAGAAACACGTAAAGCCAACACATAGTTCAAGAAGGTCGATGAAATCGCTGGCTGGAATGGGAAAATCAAGTGAATCGTCAATTTTCCTGCGCAAGAGATCGATGGCTTGTGTAGTAGGTACTTTAGTGAATAGGGAAGTCACGTCAAGGCTGGAAAGTTTCTTGTTCCTGATGTTGATGTTGCGAATGCGATTGAGAAGATCACCTGAGTGTTTGAGATGTGCTGGACTGATAGTGCCCAAGAGTTTAGAGAGGTGTTTTGCGAGAATTTCTGAGAGCTGGTGGGGAGCACTGCCTATTCCCGAGGATATGGGCCTCAGTGGGATACCAGGCTTGTGAGTTTTTGGCAGGCCGTACATTCTGGCTGGTCTGGGGTTGCTGGGCATGGTGTGCAGAAGTTTCTTCCCTTGTTCTGAGCCCCTCAGAATGCGGCGAGTCCTTTGTTGAACTATGTGTTGGCTTTACGTGTTTCTCTTTCGAAAATCACCTCTTTCAGCAGACTTTTGGACTACCCATGGGTTCGCCACTCAGTGCGGTCCTGGCGAACCTATACATGGAACATCTAGAAGCCGAACGTTTCTCCACCATTATTCCTTCGTCTGTCACCTGGCTCCGTTATGTTGACGACATTCTCCTCATAACTCCTAAACGCTTCAACGTTCAAGCTCTCCAAGACAAGCTCAACCAGGTCGAGCCTTCAATCCAGTTCACACTTGAAGAAGAAGTCGACAACACTCTTCCTTTCCTTGATGTTCTGCTCTGCAAAGCTGACCACGAACTTCGTTTTAAAGTCTATCGAAAACCCACCAACCAAAACGATCTTCTCCACTTCTACTCTCACCACGACACCAAAACTAAACGTGGTGTAATTATAGGCTTCTTCCTGCGTGCACTCAGAATCAGCAGCAATGAGTTTCTTGAAGAAGAATGCACGATAATTGAACAAGTATTTTCTAAATTCCACTATCCTCGTCACTTCATCAGAGACTGCAGACGACGGACATTAAACATCTTCAACACACCCAGAGAAGACACTGCCGAGAAGAGATACATAGTCCCCCCTACCAACTCCATTGCCCAACACGTTTCCAACATCTTTTCCAATACCTCATTCCAAGTATCTACCTGTGTACGAATGGTATACAATACCGACAAGATGAGATTAAGACACATGTTGCACATGTGTCTTAATCTCATCAAGTATCTACCTCCACAACCACGACCATCAAGGACATTACCAGTGATAGACAGGACAAGCTTCCAACCTCTGCAGGGGTATACATAATCCCTTGTAATGACCAACAAATTATACGTGGGCGAAACATCAAGGGACCTCCAAACACGTATTTCAGAACACCAATACGCAAGCAGGTCTGACGACACAAGGAATGCCTGAGTACAACACCGTAATTCACACAACTACTTGATAAACTACAGAAACTCAAGACTTATCGCCACAGAAGACAACACTCAATACCGAAGAATCCTGGAATCATCACTTATTTCTATATCCGACAACTTCAACCAGAATAATGGCTTCTATAACATAGCTGAACCACTTGCCAAGAAACTTCTTCATCGCTATCCCACATAAGAACACAGGAATGGAAGAACACAAACTTATCCAATCTCCTTTCCAAGTTACCCAAGATTTTAGACTCTATAACCCCACTCGGTACATCATCAGATGCAGCATTCTCCACCTGACCTCAGCATTCTGAACCTGACTACAAATACTCACGTCCCTTCCACCCCAGGTAGATCTGTTTGTGACTTGAAAAAGCCCACTGTGTGGGCGAAACGTAGCCAATAAAGGATCACATACTGCATATGTGTTTATATTTCCATTGTGTCATATTTTATACCATTTATTTCCATAACTGCGCTACTTTCTGGCGAAGTGCAAACCATCCTCATTTAACGAAGTTTTTCTTAAGTATTAACCCATCGTTAATTTCTAAACATCTGTCGAGTACACACAAAAATAATATATATTATTTTATGTTAAGTTAAGTAGCGTTAAAGTATAAAACCAAATGTATTACTTAATTACACTTACACAATGAAAAAAGGCAGCCACTTTACGCATGGCAACAAAGTGGCTGAGCGAGGTATGACCCTTGTAGGTTTAGTGCTTCTTTTTTATTATAATAACAAGGTGGCTGAGCTCTCCCAGGAAACGTTTACATCTGGACGAGTATCGTTCATGTTGCGAGAATGGGTTGGATTAGGGCATACGGCGGTAACTTGTTTTATAAAGGCGAGGTAGCCGTGGGTTTGATAGTTAACAGGGGCACTAAATATAAAAAAGTGCGGTTATTTTAGTTGTTCTTGCATCAGAAGAGAGTAGTGGTGACACAAGAATACACTTGTTGCATATAAATCGCTGGCGAAGTGAAGCAAGTAGTGGGAAGGGGTGGGGAAGGGCATGGTGAGGGGAAAGACAGACTGGGTGACGTATAATGGGGAAAAGCCGAGTGAAGGGGTTGGGAAGGGCGAGGGGTGAGATGTGAGGGAGAGAGGCATAGAATGCCAACAGCCCTGTGACTTGTCAATAAAAGTATAACTCCTTTTACCTTTATATAAATAGACAAGGTGTCGGGGACAACTTAAAATTGTGTGAGCATCTGAATACTTGCAGTAATTATCACAGTGTTTCGCCGCTTTCATAAAAGCTTACAAAATCAGTCGTGATGTTATTTTTTATTTTACGAAATCATGTTTCCCACCAAAGTAAGCTGACCCAAAGACAGAAACACATTTGCCATCATTCATTCAATAGCTCTCTTGCCAAAAGTGTACTCATAAACTGGAAAGGTGGATGAAGATACGTCAATTGAACGGAAAGCAGATAACGAAGGTCCCCACCCATCATTAACTATTATTATTATTTTTTTTTTCGCTGTATAGCCCTTGTGGCTTAGCGCTTCTTTTTGATTATAATAATAATAATATTTTTTATTTTATTATCACACTGGCCGATTCCCACCAAGGCAGGGTGGCCCGAAAAAGAAAAACTTTCACCATCATTCACTCCATCACTGTCTTGCCAGAAGGGTGCTTTACACTACAGTTTTTAAACTGCAACATTAACACCCCTCCTTATTATTTATTATTTATTATTATTTAAATGGCGAGCTAAACCCGTGTGGGTCATTCAGCGCAATGAATAGTGGAGGCCCGGCCCTCCGTCCACTATTCACTTCCTGGTATCATCAAACAGGTTGTTTGTAATTTCTCCCTTAGCGATGAAGAGAAACTTTAGGGGGTCTAACGGCAACTTACCAGTGATGAGGCAGAACTTGAGGGCGAACTTGGGAGGGATCTTGGAGAGGAGGTTGGCGGAGAGGTTGCAGGTGGTGAGAGGTGTGTTCCTCATCAGGTGGAAGACGGCATCCGGCACCTGACACAGCTGGCACTCGCTCAGGT